ACGATGATTTTAATTAAAAAATTTATGTTATCTAGTGAAAGTAGATGATTTTAGTGAGCCTAAACAATTTTAGCATAAAGAATTGTAAGCCAAGTACAGATTACTATAAAAGTGGCTTTAGCACCTTAAATAAAATGTAACTGTTTGTTATGGTAAACAGAAAGAAAAAGGTCACTTTCCTTCCTTGTCTCTAAAGCACATGTTTCAATGTGTGCCAGTAAAGCCTAATGATTTAATATTTTTATTCTGCAACAAACCTTGTTGCTTACCATGTTGCTTCCTCTCCAGTTTCAATGATGGTTCTTTTATTGGAACTACAAAGTGTTTGAGTTTTTATATATGTCCATTATAATTCTAACTTATGATATGAAATTCGATTGGATGCAATAGATAATAGAATTCAGTTCCTTTTATTTATTTATTATTATTTTTAAGTAAGATGATATTTCAATTATGTTGAGTTTAGTAACTTGCTTCTTTTACTTCAATAAAGATAAATATAATAGAATCTCTTAACTGATTTGTTGATGTTCATAATACTTATTTCACTTATGTATGACCGTGATAATAAACTTTAAATATGTTGTCTTTGATGAAGCCATTAAAATTACTATAAATGCTTTGAAGTACTTAGAGTGTATCTATGTTTTAGATGCTTATAGTGTTTGAGTTATATGAAAATTTTCTAATTGTGGGAAGAAAATATGATAATTGAAGGTATTTATATGTTTTTTTTGTTTTTGTTTCCTTGCAGGCTATATGGCTAAAACGAACCAGATGATCATTTTTGCACGGAAATGTTAAGTTTGGCTTTAGTAGATGGAGGCCGTGGCTCAGAGTTTCTATGAAATCATGATCATTTATGTTTTAGTGATACTTCTTCTGTGAAACGTGTAAATTATATGAGCAATAGATATCTCAATGCCTTAAATTAGATTAAGGTGATGTAAATCTAACGTTTGTTTGTTGTATCAAGGTAATGTCACTTGAAACCTGTAATTATCAACGTTTGATAGTTGAAAGAGGTTTATGGCAGTTTAGAGCTATTCATTTGTTGCCTTACAACTTCAAATTTCTGCATAATTCACGAAAGCCACACATGCTAATGTTCCTAAATTGACTTGAAAGTCATATGACAAATCATCACTGTGCGCATATATTTTCTGCAAACAAACTCATCTCATCAACCATAAATTTATGATCATTATTATTTCCACACTGAATATGAGCAGCACTTTCTTCTGGATTAACATGCCCCCAACAACTACTGAACACAGAGAAGTTTATATACAACCCCAAAAGTATTACAAACATTTTAATGAAAACAACTAAATCATGTTTGCTCCTTCGAAGCTCTTCTATAGAAATTTGCCACAACCATACGCGCATTTCAAATCAAAACATTCTAATTCATATTTGTGAGAGAAAACACAAGGAAATTGCCACACTATGAACTAAAATAAGTTTTCATTACTAAGATAAAATAAACTTGATAACATCGAGTATTCATTACAAAAGGGAAAAACAATTATGTACAACAACCCACAAAAAAAAACATCATATTACAGAGAAGAAAAGAAAAGAAAAATCAGAATAGAAGATGCAATATTGCTGGCTAAAAATGGTACATATACTTAGGGGTGGTTGCGGTTCGGTAACCGCGAACTTTTCCTTGAACCGCAAACCAACCGACTATTTGCGGTAATGTGATTTTTGAAACCGCAAACTGACCGATTTTTACGATTTACTGCGGTTACTGTGAATTAATGGTTTAAACCGATTTGATTATTTTGGGCATAAATTATACAATTTTAGATATTTAAGTGTGGTCTTTTTGTGTCATAAAAATTTAATCTTCCACACTTTTAAGCCTAGGTTTGATGCTTCTTTTGAAACTTTTTGAGTTCAAGTATACTTTAACCAAAAATATAAATTCACAACCTCAACTTCTTAAGCATATATAAATTTGCAACCTAAAGAAATAAATTCACAACCTCAACTTCTCAAGCATTCACAACCTAAAGAAAAATCCAATTCAAAGTTAATTAAAGTTACAAACTAAAAGGAGAACTTAAGTGTAGGTGGTGGTGAGTGGATTTTATTATAAGAAGAAGCTCTTCTTTATGAGTTGGAGTGAAGGTTGTGTTTCGGGTGTTTCGGTTTGTGTTTGGGGGATTAGAGGCATTAGGTGTGTTAGAATGGCTAGACTCCATCTATAACACAACACAACATAAAAACATATTAATAATAGATTAAACTCAACCAAATTAAAACACAACATCTAACTACTAAAATGCAATTTTTCTAAAAATATATTTGAGGTTTGCGGTAACCGCGAGTTGCCAAAATCACATACCGCAACAACAACTACAATTGCGGTTCTATTTCTAAAAACGCAATTTTCGGTCAGTTTTTAGCTATTGCAGTTCCAATGCGGTATAATGTTGGTTGGTTTTTGTGGTTTTTCAATTTTTCGGTCTAAAATGCCACCCCTACATATGCTGCAATAGTGTCGCACCTCTGCTGCTTCCCTTGGTAGAGACTCGAGTGCAATCCAAGGAAGCTTCATCCTTATGAGGGTAGCAGCAACATCAGCAGGTAATTCAACAATTGATTTCACAGTTTCATTATAAAAGCCTCATCCTTATGCAGCAGAAACAAAAGCAGATTTCTATTATCTCAGGTACAAATTCCAGACTTAATGCTAAATACCAACTGCTAACAGAAGAGAGACCATATACACTTCATCTCATTTAGACGAGAGACCATATACACTTCATCTCATATGGCATATCTACTAACAAAATCCTTCAGCAAATTCTCAAGAGTTATATATGAAAACAAATAAATAGAAAATGTAAGCATCAACGAATAGCAAACTTTAGTAGTGATTAAACCTTGTAATGGAACTTTCCATGAAAGTGTGAATCCCACAGGAAGGATGTCAGCTCGACACATTAGTAGGCATTTATGCCTAAAGCTGTAGAAGAAGGATGTCATAGTTAATGAAAGCTTTCCATTATCATGAAAGTTAAGACTTTAAAGTTGAAGGTTGACAGGTTTAGATTTGTAAATCAAATTTTACATCTTAAGGAACACAAAACTAAATAATTCTATGAGGCATACAACCCATGCACTATTTAATATTAGAATATAAAATCGTCCATGTAATTTTTTTTTTCTTCATACTCATTAGAACTCAATTCAAATATCATAACAACAATAACAATAAGTCAATTATGAAAATTTTACAAACTCATTCTCTGAGTAGCAAGTCCTAGAACCAACCCATTGCCATTTACTCAAAATTAACAAACCCACAAAAAATCAGGTGCAATCTCAACCTTGCCCAGAAATTTTCAAAATTAAAAAACCCATCGCAGAACCCCAATTCGAAAATCACAACCTAGATTTAGAACGAAACATAAACGCTGCTGTGGACACGCCTACCTGATTGGTATAGAATTCTCGCAAGCTCAACTCGCGATGGTAGCTCTTCCTTCGTCTTGGAAGGGTGAGCTCTTCCTCTTCTTCACGCGTGCCTTAGGTTTCTTCAGCCATGACATGTTTTTTTTTTCTTGGGGTCAAGAGTGTTAAAACGGGTTAAAACATTTAAAACAACCATAGCCACAAGATCTCAATAAAAGAGATCCAACGACTGAGCGCCCCATCCCTAAAATAACACTATTTGAGGGATCCCTCAACTGAAGGGGACTATATATATATATATTCTTAATGGGTCGGGTTCAGGTTGGGGATTAAAATATCATCTTCGTCCCTTCCCGATCACCATACCCTATAATTTCCCCATACTTGTCCCCATACCCGACCAATTAGAGTCGAAACCCCACGAAGACCCTTACCCGCGGGGAAAATTGTCATCCCTATTTTGACCCACATAATCAAACATAACCCTCCTCTTGTAAGTATCAAATAACTGAAATAATAAAGTCTTTTAAGATAAATTTTTTGACTCAATGGTTAATTGATCAATTCCCATCATCTTTAACCATTCATCAATTGCAAATAATTTAAACCTACGGTCCATCATAGTAGCAAAGCAAAAAATAGCAGGAAACTCTTTCTAATATTTATCAAATTTACTTTTCATTTTAGTCAAAGCAACCTTAAAAACAAAGAATTCAACATATGCAACAAATGATCCATGAATATCTGTTAAACAATTTATAACAGGACTTGAAGTAGGATAATACACACTAGAAAATATGTTGGTTGAAGAACAAAAATTTGAAAAAACCCACAAAAAAGTTGTGCTATTGTCCAATCTTCTTCATTAGGTACTTGTAAATAACAAGAACGTGATTGATTTACCCATTGAACATACCTATTCAAATGAGCTTTATATTTTATAACAACATGTAAAAGCTCATATGTGGAATTCCGCCTATGAGGCACATTAATATCTATATTTTTATTTCCCATATTGAAATAACTACAACATTTTACCCAAATTTCATGTCTTTTGTTAGATGAATTCAGGCTACATACAATATCAGTAATTTTATCAATAGATGGAGATAAAACTTTAAGTCCATCTTGCACAATCAAATTCAATATATGACAACAACAACGTACATGAAACAATGAAACAAATTTTCTTGCACAAAATCAAGCAAAAGAGATGACGGAAGTATACTTGCAGTTGAATCATTATTTGATGCATTATCTAATGATATAGTAAATATTTTGTTGTGAATGCCCCAAGACAACAATTCATCAAATATATGAGTTGCAAGTGACTCTCCGATGTGTGGGTACTCAATCATTTTAAAGCAAATTATCCATTTATTCAAACACCACTCTTTATCGATAAAATGTGCAGTAAGTGACATATAACCCATTTTGTGTCGTAATGATCAAACATCATAAGTTAAACATATTTTTTAATCAAGTTTTTCAAAAAAAAACATGCAAATTACTCTTTTCTTTACCAAATTTTTTCATCACATCTCTCTTACATGTAGAGGCTGAAATTCCTTTTATTGAGGACAAAATGCATACTGAATCATGCCCTTGAAGTCATGGCTATCAACAAATTTAAATGCTAGTTCAACTCTAATAATAAAATCCACAACTTCTTTACGAGCAACAACATGATCATAAACAACATTTGTCAAATTTCTAACAACATCAGCATTTAATAACATTTGACCTGGACTTATCCTAGCTTGTGCAGCTTCATGCTGTTTTAAATGACGAGTTAAATGACTAGTACCACTACTCGGATTACCAACCAACAAAGTATTATCACATTTAGCCTCAATGACTGGTTTACCATTTTCAATTTTGTTAACCCTTTCAAAATAAGACCAAACTTTACTTGTTAATCTAGGTGTACTTGCACTAGGTGATTGTGAAGATGGAACAATTTCATTTATAGTTTCATCCAGACGTGTCTCACTAGCAGTATCCATTTGGATGATATTAAGAAAATAAAGACAAATGAAAGGTGTTACATGATAAATAGCAGCATAGCCAATATGCTAAATAGCAAAAACTTTACTTTTCTGGGTATTTCCTGGAATAAATAAATAAAGCAAAGCAAGAACTCATTAATAATCAAATTTGTGTTGAGCACGCTTGTACAGAGCAGAAGGTTATATTAACAAACTAAAACAATTGACATTTCCTTACATTTCCTACCAACAACTAAAGAAAATAAAAGAAAGACTTGTTATCCCTAAAAAAAGAAGATACAACCTTACAGACTCTTGCAACAAAGTGAAAACTAAGATTAGCATCTGATTTTCATATTTAAAAAATAAAAGTCATTGACGAGGCATAGGTGGAATTGAAAATTAAACATATATTTCTAAATTAGTAAGTGCCATATATTATATACATTGATTAAAACATTTGGTCAAAAAAGACTTTACATAAAAAAAATAAAGTAAACAAAGATGAATGATTATCAGTCCTGTAGTAGACGACACACAATTACAAGTATGAATCCTAATATGTTAAGATGAAAAAATAATGGAAAACAAAAGATAAAAGATAGAAGATATGTTGGGCAATTGCCTGTTCCATCTTTTTCAATTCAGCCTATTCTACGTGGAGTTCCTTCTTCTTTGCTTGTAAACTCTACGGTAAAAAGAAAAATAAAGAACAAGAAATCATTGCTTGGTGACAAAAATAAATAAATCATTGATCATGAATAACATATAGAAAACTTTAAAATATGATTGAACATCTTGCATATGCTGAACAACCTTTGAACACATTGGATTTCAACATCCTCCTTAACTTTTCCCAGCAAAAGCAAAAACAATACCCAAAAAAAAAAAAAAAAAAAAAAAAAAAAAAAAAAAAAGGAAGACACATAAGCACATAGCCCTGAGTCCTCACAACAATAAATAAATTCATGAACTCAGTGATAATCAAACCTCAACACTTATACAATATGCCAAATTAACAAAATAGCCAAGAAATCAAGATATATTACCAAGAGAATGATCTTAAAATAAACAATAAATCAAGATGTATACATCAATTATACCTATTGGACTTGGATATGCAGTGGCAAATGAACAGCTAAGGAGAGAGAGAGAGAGAGAGAGAGAGAGAGAGAGAGAGAGGAGAGAGAGAGAGAGAGAGAGAGAGAGATGAAGATAAAAGAGGGGTGGAGTAGAGAGTGTGGTTAGACCGTATGCCTATTTTATATGGAGGTATTGGACCTTTCCTAATACACCAGACCAAAGCAACTGTTACAAACCCACTAAACCAAACCCAAATATATATTTTTTTTCCTAGGGAGTATTCACCACCCAACCAAGTTATAATATTATTTACAATTAAATTTATATATATATGCGGGCCTAACGGGCTGGGCTTTTGTGGGTGGGCCAGGCCGAGCTTTCTTGGGGGTAAATGGGCCAACCTATGGGTTGGATTGGGCTTCAGACATCCAAGCCCAAGTCCAACCCATTAAATAATGGGCTGAGCCGAGCCTTTTCTCAATGGACCGGCTGGGCCAAATGATGAGGCCTAACAGAGAGTATAGTTGGTGATGATTCAGATAAAATGAAAACTGATTCTGCCAGGGCTAGTGAGAATGATTCTTTGGCTGATTCTGGTTTAAGAAGTTCATGGATGAATGTTCAATCTCGAAGGCGACCTAAACTTGATTTTAAAGTTTTTGGTGGTCAGGGTTCTAGTGCAAAGGTTAAGGGCTCACGTTTTGATGCTCTTAGAAGCATTAATGACAGTTTTGGAAGAGATGAGGAGATTAGTGATGTGTTTGTTGAGCAGGACAAGTCCCATTTTAATAGTTCCTAATATGGAGCATGGCAAGAAAGTATGGACTAAATCCAAGAATGCTAAGCCCATATTTAGAAGTGCATTGACTAATATTTCCAATATGCTTTTTGAGGGGAAAGTCTGTGGTGATGTAAGTGTCAAGAACTAGTGTTGGTCCTTCACAAGTGTTTGCTGGAACTGTAGCTCGTATTGGAAAGATGGTTGTTTAGGGAAAGATATTTGATAGTTCCATCCCTGTTAGTGATCAAATCACTAGTTAGGTCAGTGATCAAAAGAGTCATCATGAGAAATGTGTATACATCTTTGGTCATCAACCGCCTAATATAAGTGAGAAAATATGGGGAGCTCTGATTCTAAGGGTGATGAGGATACGTTGAACTCTAATGTTTCTGATAGTTTGTGTCAAGTTGATAGAATGGATCTTTTGGAAGGTTAAGCTAGTCTTTGTGGTGGGAATTTGGCAGGAAATGCCTTTAGCGATGGTGGAGGTATGACTGTTGGTATTAGAAAAAGGGTTTAGCCCTTGGGTTCCTCTTATCTTTCTAGTTATCTATATGAATATTGTTTGTTGGAACGGTCGAGGTGCTGCTTGCACAAAGTTTAAGACTCATATGATGTATTTGATCCACACTCATCATATGGACATTTTGTTCATTTGTGAGCCTCATATAAGCAGAGGTAAAGCTGCTTCGATTACTAAATCCCTAGGTTTCTCTAATTTTGAAATTGTGAATGCTAATGGTTTTTCTGGGGTTTATGGTTGCTATGGGATGCCACTAAAGTTCATGTTGATATTTTGGGGACTTCAGAACAATCTATTTTTACTTCTATGGCTTAGCCTGGCCAATCTCCTTGGTTGTTTATAGCTATGTATGCTAGCCCTTGTGGTATTAAAAGAGCTAAGTTATGGGAGTATCTAAGTTTTATTGATGACTGTCAACATTTACCTTGGTTAATTGCTGGTGATTTTAATGAAATGTTGAATGTGAATGATAAAGGGTTTAGGGTTTAGGAGGAGCTCTTGTTTGTAGATTGAAAGGTTTTAGAAGCTAGTTTGATTGCAATGGTATGGTTGATTTGGGTTTCTCAGGCCCCAAATTTACTTCGAATAATAAGAAAGTCTTTGAAAGGCTTGATCAAGCTATATGTAATTTGGAGTGGAGGGGGTTGTTTGCTGAGGCCACTGTGAAACATTTTCCTAGAACCAAGTTGGATCATAATCCTATTAAGATTTGTCTTACTTCGTGTTTTTCAACTCCCCCTATGTTAAGGCCCTTTAGATTTGAAGCGATGTGGCTACAACATGAGAAGTTTAATGAATATATTTATACAAATTTATAAATAAACCCAATCCTAGACATGTATTATAAAAAAAACCCAAGCACTATTTAAACATAGAAACACACCCAAAATCAACCCCAAAATCAATAATTGTATATTTTTTGGGTGTGTTTATAAATGGGTTTTGAGTGTGTGTAATGATGGGTTTTGGGTGTGTTTATAAAGTGTTTTGGGTGTTGGGTTTTTTTATAATTTCAGCCTCCATTTTGGGTGTTTTAGTGAAACTCCCATATATTTATGAATCTTGACGTTATTGCTATGGAGACGACTTATGCCTTAATTGAGCCTCTTAAACATTGAAATATTAATGTCTTTGGACATTTGTGCAAAAGAAAAAGTTGGTTGTTGGCTCGAATTGTTGGTATCCAGAAAGTTATATGGAAGGAGCCTAATAGGTTTCTTAGTAATTTGGAAGCCTCTTTGATTGATGATTTCAATAATGTTCTTCAGCAAGAAGTTGTGTTTTGGCAACAAAAATCGAGAATTACTTGGCTACAAGATGGTGATAGGAACACCAAATTTTTTTCGTACTACTACTATCATAAAAAGGAGAAGAAATAAGATCGAAAGGTTAAAGACTGCTAATGGTATTTGGATCGAGGAGCTTGTTGATTATGTGGTTGACTCCCTAACCTTTTTCCCCTTATTGATGTGGCTGATCTGCATGGTTTGGTTCAACAATTAATTTGGTTGAGGTTAAGACTAGATCTATGTAATATTGGTGGGTTTAAAGCTCCTGATGTTGATGGCTTCCCTGCATATTTTTATCAGAGTTAGTGAAATGAATTTGCTGGTGATATTTTTCAAATGGTGGTGAATGCTTTTAAGGAGTGTCGAATCCCAGAGAAACTTAACTGTACTCTAGTCACTTTGGTCCCTAAAGTTGACAACCCATTGACTATGGTGCATTTTCGACCCATAAGCCTTTGCTTTACCCTTTATAAAGTTATTTCTAAAGTTCTGGTTACTAGATTAAAACATTTTTTTGCCTCATATCATTAGCCCTAACTAGGTAAGTTTTGTGCCTAGTAGGCAAATCACATACAAGATACTTATTGCTCGTTGATGCATAAATTTAAGTTGTCTAAGGGAAAGAAAGACTTTATGACCTGGAAAATTGATTTGTCTAAGGCATATGACAAATTAAATTGGAAGTTTGTTGAGCATGTGTTAGTGGAGTTGGGGTTACCTTGTCCTATAACTAAATTGATTTTGAGTTGTGTATCTACTGTGATGTATCAAATTTGCATGAATGGTGAGCTTACTAATCATTTTCTTCCTAAGAATGGCATTAGACAAGGATACCCTTTACCTCATTATCTCTTTGTGATGTGTATTGAGAAGCTATCTCATCTTATTTTTGATTCTGTTAACAAAGGAGTTTGGAAACCAGTTAAGTCTTCACAATCTGGCCCAACTGTGTCTCATTTATTCTTTGCAGATGACCTGGTTCTTTTTGATGAAGCTAATTCTACTCAAGCTAGGGTGCTAAAGAGTTGTTTGGAGAGGTTCTGTAGTGCTTCTGGGCAAACAGTGAATTATGATAAATCTGTTATTTTCTGCTCACCAAATATGAGTAAGGAGACAACTAAGGAGGTAAGTCTTATTTGTTGCTCTCCTTTTACTGAGGACCTTGGTAAGTATTTGGGGCATGCCTATGTTGCATTCTAGAATTACTAAAATAACTTATGGCAGTTTAATTGATAAAGTACATAAGTGGTTGCTTCTTGGAAGTCAAAGTTTCTTTCATTGGCTGGTAGAGAAACTCTTATACAAGCTATCACTTTTGCTGTTCCTATTTATGCTATGCAGACCTCCAAGTTGTTTGTTAGTGTTGTGTAAGAGCTGGATTAATTAAATAGTAATTTCTTTTGGGGTGGCAGTGAGAAAAAGTATAAGATCCACCTCTGTCAATGAGATTTAGCTTGTTGTCCTAAGAACAAGGGGGTTTAGGTTTAAAAAAAAACTACTTCCATGAATCAGGCCCTCTTGGCTAAAGTTAGGTGGAGATTACATAAAAACGACAAGGGCTTATGGGCTAAGATTTATGAGTCAAAATATCTTAAAGGGAAGTATGTCTTAGATTCTTCTTTGATGATCAGACAAGATTGTTCTACCACTTGGAAGGGTGTTATGTATGGGGTGGAGTTGTTAAGGCAGGGAATGGTTTGGAGGATTGGTAAGGGGGATACTATTAAATTTTGGAAAGACAGTTGGCTTATTGATAAGCCTTTATCGCAACATGATGGGGTCTTGCATATTGAGGATATAGATTGCTCTGTATCCAATATTTTTTTTTCTTTTTTTAAAGATAAGTGGTGGGATCTGGATAAATTAAGAAGAGCTTTAACTGAAGATCTTGTTCAACATATTGTTAACTATCCTGTGGGTTAGATAGTAATCTGCAAGATTGCCAGATTTGGAAAGGAACTGCTAATGGAGTTTATTCTGTAAAAACCGCTTACAATCTGTTCTTTAATGGTCCTTCATGGCCTGATTATAGTTTTAGATCGTTGTGGAAACTAAAGATACCTCCTAAATTGCAGATTTTTGCTAGGCTTATTGCTCAAGGTAAAATTCTATCCAATGAGCAAAAAGTTAGAAGACAACTGACATTTGATGCTTCTTGTGGTGTTTATGAGTGGCCTATTGAAACTACATTACATCTTCTTCGTGATTGCTATAAGGCTAGAGGTATATGGAATTCTATTTTAATGCCTAAACATCAGGGCCATTTGTTTCAAATGGAATTTCTGCCATGGTTTCAGACTAATCTTCTCTCTCAGGTAGTTTGGTGTAGTAATATTCCTTGAAGTTTGGTGTTTATCTTCACTTGTTGGTATGTGTGAAAATGGAGAAATCACCAATTTTTTCAAGGGGATGAAGATGTGCTTTTTGATCCTAAACAACTTATTGTTCGTACTGTCCATGAGTGGTTTGAGGCTTCTCATATATTGAGTAAGGATAATCATAAAGTTCATGTTGATCTAAAGTGGGAACCTCCTATTTCTGGTCAGTTCAAGTTAAATGTTGATGGGTCAAGGAGGAATGGCTATGGACATATTGGTGCTGGATATTTGATTAGAAGTTTCTCTAGAGATTGGGTCATTGGTTTTGCTGTGAACATGGGGAATGGGCAAATTATTGAGGCATAAATCTGGGGATTATTTTTTGGGTTGAAGCTTGCTGTGGATAAAGAGATTAATAACCTTGTTGTTGAAATGGATTCAATACTTGCTGTCCAATTGATCCAGAAGTAGGGCATTACTGATGTTCATCCTTTTGCAACCTTAGTTGCTAGTTGCTGGGAGTTGATGCATGAGATTAATTGTTGCAGTGTTTATCTTTGTTGATGCTCCAGCTTGGGTTCAGACTAGTTTGATTGATGATTTGCTAGGAGTTACTAGAACTCGTCTAGTTTCTATTGATATGTTAGTGTAGGTTGTTCTTTGGGGTTTATCCCCCCTTTTTCATAAATAAAAAAAAACGTAATAATATTCAAAATTTCAGTAAAAGTATGTGCAATGAAAGATTAGCTTTGAATTAAGATATTATACTTGGTTGGCTCAATTCGATTTATCATTACTTATGCCACATAATAAGCGAGATAACGGATCTCGACTAACCCAATGGGCAATCTTCACATCGTCCATAATGGACCAGTCATCCAAAGACTGTATAAAAGCTACCCTCCTTAGTCTAACTTAGGTATTGGAGGTTATTTGGCTCACACCAACCCAGTGTGCACATAGACTCAATTATCATTATCTTCTTAGTTTTTAAGGTACAAAGGTCTTCCACAGACATCGGAACATTGTTGTCCCACAATAATAATAATAACTGTTGCACTCAATTGTAAATAAGGGATTCTTCTCCATTCAAGGTTAATAGTGACAACAAAATGTTACAAGTCTAACTTATTAGGTTTTTTTTAATCCAAAGATGTTAACCCGAACTTTTACGGCTTGTTTTGAAAAGGGCTTATTCTAGTAGCTTCTACAAAGAAGCAATTTGATGTTTAGCTAGCACACTTAAAAGTGCTTTTATACTACATAAAAATGATTTGATAATTTGTAAAGTATTTGTTTGCCAAAATAAAATCAAGGGTTATTTACTGTAGACGTCCTTGAACTATGGCCCCAGTTGCAATTGGGTCCGTGAACTAATTTTTGAGGCAATGACATCCTTTAATTGGACAAATAGTTGCAATTGGGTCCTACTGTCCAACTCTGTCAATTTGTCCGTCAAAGTGAGGGATAAAAGCGTCATTTTGAGTCTGAAGAAAAAAACTGAAAAAATAAAATAAATCAATAAATCAATAAACTTAAAAATAAAAATCCATCTATCTTTCGCTCTGTCTCTCCCTCTCTCTCGCAACCCATTCCCCCCTTAAAACCCAGATCACAACACAATGCAGAAAAATGATTTGTATGCATGAACCAGATTCAAAATCGAACCTGTATACAAGGAGTTAAAAGCAAAAGCTGCAAAGCCCAACTGAACTGTACACTAGCGGCGACCGTACAGCTGAGAATAAGAGTCGTAAGAGTATTGTGTTTGTGTCTGGGTTGACTCGGCGGTGGCGAGAGGTCGCCGGTCCCATTCAAAACCTTAGGGGATGAAGACGAAGAGGAATTAAGGTCAATCTGATGATGAGCCCCGTCCGTTCCCATCATTTCCACCTCCACCTCCCTCAGGTTTCTGTACGGCACCCGGATGGAACTTGAGTCCGTCTTCCCTGCCATGGCGACTCGGTTTCAGTGACTTAGTAATGGCTACGACTCAGAAGCTCAATTTCCTACGCATCAAACTGTAAAACGGTGCAGATCTAGGTCATCGCATGTAGATCGAACTCCAGCATTGGAACTGAGAAGAATAGAGCGTGTGAGATTTGCAGGTCGGTCAAAAAATTTGGGCGAGTGTGCGATGGTTCTAATCGCATTTCAGCGGTAGATTTATGTTGCATCACAACACAATGAAGGTTCCTCTTTCGCTCTGTCATTTTTCTGCATTGTGTTGCGAGAGAGAGGGAGAGGCAGAGCAAAAAAGAGAGGGATTTTGATTTTTAAGTTTATTTATTTATTTTTTCAGTTTTTTTCTTCAGACTCGAAAGGACGCTTTCACCCCTCATTTTGACGGACAAATTGACAGAGTTGGACGGTAGGACCAAATTGCAACTATTTGTCCAGTTAAAGGATGTCATTGCCTCAAAAATTAGTTCACGGACCCAATTGCAACTGGGGCCATAGTTTAAGGACGTCTACAGTAAATAACCCTAAAATCAATTTTGTTAATGAGAGAATACCAAATTTTCATCAGATATTATGAACTCAAAAAGCTCTTTCGAATGAAATTGTTTTCATCTTAGAATCTTTTATCATCTATATAATATAAATGGTTATAGTTCGTACAAATTCTTTTTTGTTTATCTCTAATACCTAATTTAAATTCTATAATAATAGAAAACATGGGAAATAAAATTTAAGATTTTTAAAAGAAATAAGAAAATATGACTTAATGAAACTATAAGAAAAGAAAGAAAAAACTATGAGAAGTGAAAAATGAGAAATAAGGACTTCCCCAAATAAGATTGATGCTAATTTCTTGAATACAAAAAAATGGAATTAACGAGACATAAGATTTGTAATTCTCTCACGTTCATCATCCATCTCTCATTCATGATTTAAATTTTGTTCTTCAATTGTCTCTTTACCTCTAATCTCTTCCGCTTTTGTAGAGACAAATAACTCATCATCATCATCATAAAGTTGAAACTAGTGATAAATTGTGGAGATCCATTAAAGCAACAACAATTTATACTTGTTTTTTTATTTATGAAAATTATGCTTTTGTTCTATCATTCTCCAACAATTTAAGCCATTTAGAAACAAATACAACACATCTATAGACATCAACTGATAAAATTCATCATCACGCACACTCATATGTAGAAGAAGAGTGTGTATTGTTGTGACATCTATAAAAATGAAAAAAAAACATATCTTTTATATATATATATATATATCAATGTATATTAAAATAACACTTTTAACAACATTACATCAAAAGCATGGCCTCATATTTATGTTCATACCCTCATAATTTTTTATTTTTTATTTCAGACGAAGAAAATGAAAATCCTTTGAGTGCAAGAGTCCACACAAATAAAACAAGAAGCATCTAACCAATCAGACCAATTTTAACCGCGAATCTCAGTATCTTACAGTTATTCGACGACAAATTAACCGGACCAGCCAGTGATACCGTGCCAAACAACAACGGCTACTTTACCCATTATAGCCAGTAACAACGCGCCCTCCACCCCAACGGTCACATTTTCTCATTTGTCCTCTAACCCATTTCTAAAAACATTCTGTCGCTCACTCACAACGTTTTAATTTGTTTCGAAAATCCAAACAAACACCCTCCTCTCTCCCCTATAAATTCATCTCCTTCTTCCTCAATCTCTCAGAACCATAACACTTTCAACCCACAACAACAACTACAGTCTGAGATTTGTTGTTCGATTTTACAAGATTTCCCAAGATGCATAAACTTGTTCTACTCTCTCTCCTTCTCTTCTCTGTCTCACATTTCAATGTGGTACAAGCAGACAATGCGCCTGCTCCTTCTCCCAAGCCCTCCACAACCACGCCAAAGACGCCGTCACCACAGCCACAACAAACACCACCACCGCAACCCTCTAAGGCTTCTCCTCCTGCCACTACTCCGGCCACTACTCCCGCCACTTCTCCGTCAACTTCTCCGTCATCCCCTCCGAACCCTCCGACTCAGTCCCCGCCTTCGCCTGCCCCCAAAACCGCTCCGACAGTTTCTCCGCCAACCCAACAAACTCCTCCGGCGGCGACACCCGCCGTCTCTCCGGCGACTCCTCCGACACATGTTTCTCCCGCGAAGAGCCCATCGAAAAGTGTATCTCCCCCGGTTCAATCTCCGCCGACTCCTCCGCCCACCGTTGCCTCTCCGGTGACTGCGCCAGCGAAAAGTCCAGTCGGGGTTTCACCAGTTGCAGAGGCTCCGGAGATTGCGGCGACCCCCTCGGAACCAGCAGGCATTCCTTCGAGTTCTGCAACACCGGCAGGGTCGCCGGGAATGTTCCCGTCAAGCGGTAGCCCACCAATTCCCGCTCCCTCGAGCCTGTCGCCGGAGTCTGCGCAGGGTCCATCTAGTGATGATTCTTCCGGTTCGAGTTTGAAGTATGGGGTTTTGAGTGGGCTGTCCATTTGGGTTGCTTTGGCTCTCTAAATCATCTATACTTCCATTTTCTGTTCTTCCATATTATTTATATTTTATTTATTATTAAGACTTATTTTTCTTTCTCTTTTGTATCATTTTTTTGTTGTTGAATAATAAATATTCGTTTATTATCATATTTTATATTTTATTTTGTTAAATTTTTTGAACTTTTTTTTTGCTCTGGATCTTATGGAACTGGAAAAAATGTAAAGAAGAAAACAGAAAAGTTGGAGACTGGTTTTTCTTTAATTTAATTTTAAAAACTTAAAGAAATTATATAAATAAGAACAAAGAAGGAAAAATAGAAATGCTGCTAGGAAGGTGTGGTGATTAAAATTCTGGGTGTGCATAGCAATTTGTGGATTATGGTTGGAATAAAAACCAAGTACGAATTGAGGGCAAAGAAGTGAAGATGGTCCAAATTGATTATCATAATGTTTGTTTGCTGGGCATTCTTTAATTCTATTAACTGGGTGAGAGAGATCTGATCTGACGGTGAGATGTGGATAAAATTGGATTTTGTTCTTCAAAATATAAAATTGGGTTTTCAGTAGGCTTCACAAATGTTTGTTTGGTCAGGCAAATTCGGCTGAAATGAGTTCAAAACTTGCAAAGGTTGGGTTGGCAGCTGAGGAGCTTCTATAATGAGGGGCGATGTTAAGGGGTTACAATGAGAGGGGGTTCAATTCCACAGTTCAATAATAACTCTGCACTGAATCGGACAACTATTAAGGACCCCTTCATTATAACCGCTTACCATAACTCCTCATTTTAGCCACTCTGTGGCAGCTGTGCTCGCTTATGGGCCGTTTGATGCAGTTACATGCACATCCTTTTTTGTCCTTGTGCATTTCTCGGCTATGAGAAAAGTACAGGGAACAACCCTGCAGCCAATATCGTTTCTTGTATGGATATCATTTGGATGGTATTGGTTAGGTGACTTTATTTTTACCCCAGAAGGTGTGCTTTTGGTGTAAGTGCTTAGTTGCAAGAACACATCTCAAAGGTTTCATTTAGCTACTAGCAAAATTGAGGAGGAGCCAAATATCTGCGAAATTAGGTTTACCTATGTCTTCGCATCCGATGAGGGAGAGTTGTACTGATTTTGTTGTTACCAAGAAGTTGGGGGGAGAAGAAAAGTGATATCAAATATCAAGTCTTACACCTTTTCTTAGTCCTCTAAGAAAACAAAGAAGCTGTCTTTAGCATCTCCGAAAGAAGGATATGCTTTTGCTACTATGTTTTCCTTCTTGCCTTCCGCATATTGTTATCTTGATGTGGACAGGAAATAACGTCACGAGTCCATTTCGAGTAGCTGGAGCAGCTGCACCGGCACTCCTGATTGAAAAGGTTTAAAAAAGATCCAAAAATATTTCTACTTTTCCCAATCTGGTCTATTCATTTGCGCTTGTGGTCTCTATAGCGGCTTGTGCCATGTTTGACAGTTGTTGGCTTGCTTATCCTCTCTAGATGGGGCAAATGAACCTTTGCTTGGAGTGTTTCGTTCTGGTAATTTCTGGCCTCCTAGGTGTATGCTGTTTCAGACCACCCGTGGACATGCTAGGCACGGCTACCATCACCGGTTTGCTGGTCAACGGGATGTGGTTCCATACAACCTTCGAATGCATGAGAATGTGCATTCTTTGTTTCAGATTAATAGGAAACTTCATAACTGGAAGTTCCTTTCCCTCTCATTTTCCAACTCCCTCCTCTGCCTCTCAAACACCTTTCCCACTTTCCTCTTTCTGTTCATCATGCCAAATTTTATCACTGCATTTAGTCCACCAAACTTCATAATAGCCTATTCAATTGAAATATTTCAGTCCACTTTCCCCTTATGAAAGAACAATACTTTTCAAGAGCAAATTATGAAAGAACAAAAAAAATCCCAGAATCATTCTCTTTACCTCTTGATAAATGGATACACCATAAGGAAACCAGTGGTACACTGCCTGCAACAAGAAAATTGATGTAGTAAATTTAATGACAAATTGTATTTTTCGCTTAAAAAATAGGAAAATACTTTCCTCTTTCCTATGTAACTATAAGTATGAACTTTTATATTTCTGCCAATAACATTTTGATATGTGTGTAGAAGTTTTTCTTTTTGTGTTTCTTATAAATTATTTTTATACATGTGTCAAACCGTGATTTGCATCATTCGAGGAAATGAGGTGAGGAGTATCCTAAAAAAATATTATTAATAGATGTGTAGTTTTGAGATGTGATGCCATGTACCCTGTCAACTAAAACTGACACACAATATGGATGCTAGGACTCGAACCAAAGGAAAGTAATTACTCCAAATCACTAGACTAATGAGTTCTGCCGGTAGATGATTTCTTCATTGACGTGTATTCTATGAAAAAGAAAAAAAAATCTAAACGATATTAGCATTAAAAAAAAATTGTAAAAATAGTTTTTCTTAAATTTTGACCACCAAGTCTCAACTCAATGCTCATCGCAGCTGAAAATGGAAAAGATAAATGAAAAATCTGAAAAAGTCTATTAAATTTGGGGCCATAAAAGGGGGGCCAGGAGGACCCACAAAGACCACTTCCGATCAAATACCAGAAAAAATAAACAGAGAAAAATTTGATTAAAATTTTCAGTTGCAAATTATTTGGAAGAACAGAATTGCTCAGTCTCAGTCTCAGTCTCAGCACTCTCAGTCAATCTCTGTGATCGATGGCAATGGCTGACAATGGGCGAGTTGTGTGCAAATGCACAGCGAGGAGGAGCTTCTGCTTTAGAGAAGTGACATTCGACGAGAAGCCCAATCTCCGAAACCATCTACGAAACGTTTCGACAGTTCCTCTCTTTAGAAACGGCCTCATTACTCGGTGCCCATCTGTCGCCGGAAATAGCATTCTCAGGTTTGCTCACACGATTATAGTTTTTTGTTGTTGTTGAATTTATTGATTCGTCAGTGGCATGGTTTGTTTGGTTCACGAGAAAACTCGGGAAAAGAAGGAAAGAAAACAGAAATTTTTTAGACTTGCGTGGTAAACTGAATACTTGGCTAGGCTCAGTTTGGTTGCCGATTAAATTTAAAATGAAGAAATGTAAAAGGGAAAACTTATATAATTGATTTCGACAAGAAATTTCTGAGCTGAGCTTGTTTCTTGCTTTTGAAAGTTGAAATTGGATTGATAGAGAATCTAGAGATGTATGTATGTGTATGTACATACGTATGCATATGTGATATACAATTGTGCATTAATTAGAGAATCTATGTATTGTATTGTAGCATGGATGCACGAGAGAATTCGAGGTCCTCCATATTGCCATCATCAAGACATCAGAGAGTTCCCATATATGTGATGATGCCTGTTGATGCATTCTGCATTGATGGTTCAGGGCGTCCAAAGATTAGGAAGTAAGTTTTATTACTTTCCTTGTAGCTGAATACACTGTCAATACTCAATACTATAGTTTATGAGAGGAATTGATGAGGGTATGATGCATATACACACTGGAATTTATTGTTCTACTCTTTTTAAACAGCTTGAAGCTAATTATTTTAGGCTTAAATGTGCCTTTGAAAACATTTTGAAGTTTATTTATTTACTGTTCTTTTCCCTTTCAAGTTTTACTGGTGACACAGAAACGCTTTATATGTCCATCGATTCATTGTTGTTTCAGAATCAAGGCCTTAACTGTAGCTCTAAAAGCACTCAAGTTGGCTGGTGTCCATGGAATTGGAGTTGAGGTTTGGTGGGGAATCGTGGAGCGTTCCTCTCCTCTCGCATATGATTGGTCTCTATATGAAGAGCTTTTCAAACTGGTTTCTAAGTCAGAGTTGAAGTTGCATGTGGCCTTGTCTTTTCACTCAAACATGAACTCTTCTTCTAGCAAAAAAGGTGGTGTAAGTCTTCCGCTTTGGATAATAGAGGTTTGTTTTCTTTGCTATTCGCAAATCCCATTTGACTGTTGGGCCTAGGAGTTTTCGTTAAATTGTTGAAGTTATTAGACTGGTAGAATCCACACGTTCCCTTGTATCAGTACCCTTACAAGCATAAGAAACATAACCCATATGGATGGCTATGCATGATATTGACTTTTCCTCAGGATCCTTGCTAATATGCTATGGTCTGTGTTCCCCATTGTTATACTTCATTTCAGCTTTGATGTATGCAGTAAGCAAGAAGTTCGGATCCTGAATTTAGATAGAGAAGCTGATGCTCTTTTTTTCCTCCCAGATTGGCGATCACAATAAGCACATATATTATCGTGACCAAAATGGATTGTCCAATGATGATTATCTTACACTAGGGGTTGACCACGTGCCTCTGTTCTGCGGCCGGACTGCCGTCCAATGTTATGAAGATTTCATGTTGAGTTTTGTTAAGAAATTTGAATCATGTATTGGAAGTGTGATAGAAGAAATTAGTGTCGGTCTTGGTCCTTCTGGTGAACTTCGGTATGTTACAGTCACGCTAGAACCACAAGTATGAATCCAGTGCAATAATTTCTTATACAACATTGCTCACAGGTATCCTGCACATCCTTTTGGTGATGGTAGATGGAACTTTCCTGGAATTGGTGAATTCCAGTGCTATGACAAGTACATGTAGGTTAAGACTCTTTCATCCCGTGATGGAAATTTGGTTGATGTTGAATTTTCCCTATTTTCAAACTTGCTTCCTTTTAGGATGGACGACCTAAAGATGGCTGCATGCAAGGAAGGAAAGCCTCAGTGGGGAGATAGGGGACCACAGAATGCTGGCGATTACAACAGTCTCCCATCTGGAGTTCCTTTCTTTGAAGAGGGAGAGGAAAGCTTTCTTTCTGATTATGGGTGTTTTTTCCTTGTATGAAACTGATGGAAGTTGCCTGCTTTATTATTTTGAAAGCAAATTTATGCATAATCATAGCCTAGTATACATTGCACGACAGAATGTTCATTTATTTTGGCTGTTCATGCACATTTCATTCCAGAACTTCCGCATGGAATAAAATGCACACACTTCAATGAAAGGAGATATTGGGCTAGTGTTATTTTTAGTCATGCAAGACTTTTTGTAGGTGCATGCAAACACCTTGGGTCTGCAATATACAGTATCAATCTTTTGTGTAACTTTTTTGTAATCCATTTGTTTCTGGGGGTTATTCTTGCGGACTTTTTGAAACTTGATGTTACATTACTCTATTGCAACATAATTTTGGAAGTAGATAAGTTTTGAAGGATTCAGTATGAATCTTATGACAAGGGAATGAGGTTTTCTCTGAAAAATGCAGTAAATTATATGCAGTTTGATTAAAAATGAAAAAAAGCATTGATGCTTGTCTTCCAGAAAACAAAAATCATCATAGGGTTGTATTGGTAAGTAAATCAAGAACAATTCTAGATGTATAAATGGGAAAGTGTATTATGGTTACTTATCATGTGATACTTGGCATAACATGATTAAACTGATTGAAATATAATGTGAAGCTTAAGAGATCTGACAGTGGCTTAACTCATTGTAGGAATGGTATAGTGGTAGGCTGCTTCATCATGCAGATGATATTCTTGCAAAGGCAGCTAAAATTCTGAGGAAATATCAAGAAAACAAGAAAACTTCTATTCTATTGGTGGCTAAAATTGGTGGTATATTTTGGTGGTATCAGACAGCAGCACACCCTGCTGAACTTACAGCTGGATACTACAACACTGCTCTTAGGGATGGTTATGAACCTGTTGCTTCAATTTTGTCTCGTCATGGAGCTGCTTTGCATTTTTCGTAAGATTCTAAATTTTAAGGTTCTTACTAGAATTTTGTTCATAGTACCAACCTGATGACTAAAGGGTTTCCTTAGACATGATCTTTTCCAATGTATCTATTCTAGCATGCTCACATACTAAATATCTTATTGCAGCTGCTTAGAAATGATGGACACTGATAACCCAGCATCCTATCTTTGCAGCCCAGAAGGATTACGCCAACAGGTATTTGGCCTGTTGATTAATAATGCATTGCTTCTATGCTTGTTGCGTTGTTGGGAATTAGTTTGAAGTCCTTGTTTCAGTTTTGACATTTTCGTTTGTATTTCTCAAGTTTTCAAGTTAGCTAGGCCATGCAGCTTTCTTGGCACGGCAAGTCATGCCAGGTCTAGGCCCAACATGAGCTTGGCATGCGCCCTTGCGATTTTTTTAGTATTAGGGATATTGGGTATTGGTGATTTTTGTAGTTTTCTTTTAGCATAATCTATTATAAGGTAAATCTTAGTATTAATTGGGTTGTTTTCTGTGGCGAAATGAAGAATAAAGAAAAAACGTATAACAATTTATCAACGAATAATCATTTTTTGTACTATTGAAATTTGGAATACAATTTACTACAAAATAAGGTTGGGACTGCATCAATATCGTTTTAGCATCACTATAGTTTACGTATATCTTACTTTATGTTGGCATGGCCTGGTCCATTTTACTCCACTAGGTGGTGGTAGTGGTGGTTTGCTGCCATCTATATCATTCAATTGGTTTCTTATATAAAATGTTTACTGGATTTTATCCAATTCGACTTTGCTCTAACATGATTCTATTTGACCCCAGATATGGACTGCTTCAAAGAAAAGGATAATACATTTGATCGGGAGAAATACCAATGAACGATTTGACAGGGTAGATTCATCCTTTGCTTAAGAGAAAAAAGCAAATTTCAGCTACCTTATATTTCTATTTGACCGTCTATTGGACAGCACACACACAGATATGGATTGAACATTATATATTTAATATTGCAATTGGGTTTGCTCATGTAAGAGAACGAGTATTTGATTGAAAGGAGATGAAATGTCTGACAATCCTAGAATAGCAACAAATAATTAGTAAGAATGACTTCTGATATAATTTAAGGTGGGTAGCTGAAAATGAATTTAGGGTTTATCTCCTTTGGTTGCCCATTTTGCCCCCATATTCACCCATCGGCTTTTCTCTTGCAGGTTGGGTTATGGCAAATACATGCTAACTGTCACCATTCACAGGCCGAAGCTGTAAGATCATTTACTTACTTCAGAATGAATGATAAGATTTTTAGGGCTGAAAACTGGAATAATTTTGTTCCTTTTGTTAGAAAGATGAGCACAAATTGGTGAAGTCCCTCAACCCAATATAACCATTAAATTTCACTGAACAATCAAGAGCAAGAGTCTCACTGCCCTATAATATTTTTGTTCAAGGGCAGATGTAGAAGTTAAGTAACTTCTTGATTAATGAAATAACTTTGTGTTTCTATCCTCTGTGTGCGCTTTGGCTTTTATACAAATAGAAAAGTAAACATCTAACTGTTCTGTTGGCCTGGGGTTTGACATTGTTAGCATATTTGACAATCAAGAAATCCAACAGATAGAGGGCTGCTAGTCAGTTGTGTGAAGATGGTCTTTTGTGCCACGCTTGATGTTTTTAGGTTGGCTTGCAGGATTCTCTTGTCTATGAGATGTATGGGAAACACCATGAACATGGGAACCGATCCAATCCAATTCAGTTTTTATTGGTTTTGATGATTTTAGCAGATTGAATTGGATCTCTAAATTCAAAAACCGACATACGGATTTTGTTGTAAGAAGAATCCAATCCAATATTATTATTTGCTTTTATAGCAATTTAAAATTAATAAAGCGTTAGTAATTTAAGCCATTTGAGAGAATTATGTTGAACACATTTCATCAACGTTTAATGTTTGGGGGACTCGCTTTGCATTATATTTTAATGACTCGAATGCGAAATCATTCAACCATTCAATTAAATGGTTATTATATTAGTATTTTCTTAAAATTGTATTTCAATGACGAATGCGAAACCATTTAACCATTCAATTAAATGGTTATTATATTAGTATTTTAAAAAAAATACCATGTTCGTTGTTTGGATTGTTCAAGTAAAAGTAGTGGTGACCTCACAATATGTCCTCCAAATAAGGTTAATTGAGGGGCGCGTTCCGCATTCTATATCAATGGCGCACCGTATGGCCAAGTATGAAGCTGTCTACAGCATCTACTTTGAAGATTGGCGGGCCTTGAGTCTTTGATGGTGTGCATGGCCAAGTGAAACAGCAACAGCTTGGGAAAGCACAAAAATCTTTGGGCCTGAACGGAATAAAAACTGGAACAAGCTATGAATTTTTAACTTTACAATACAGGTAACGCTAGAGACACCAAATTTGTGCACCAAAATTGAGTCCCAAGTGATGTGGCATACTCCACATCAGTAGTTTTCATTTAACAAATTTCCAGCATGTATTCATTAAATAAAAATCATTAACTTCTAAAATAATTGAATTAAGAATGAAACCGGAAAGTCAACTAATGAAAAAACCAATTCAAGAGCCCTCTCCCCCATCCTCTACTCTGATCCCTTCTACCACAGATGAATTTCAACGTACTGGCGAGCACATGTGACACTTTAATTTTCAGTTTGAATGAAAGAAGCTTGTGTTTTTTATTCTCCTTCAACTACAACACAAACTAATATTAGAGTGGAGGGAGGGAGAGGGAAGAAACAATCATGGTTTAGCTTTGAATGTCTTGTACATGACTGTTCATCGCCATAATCATGATCAGCAGCCTGTATCTTCAATATTTTTTCTTCAATTTCCTCAATTTATTTTGAACCCTAAAATGGGATTGCTTGTAAGATCTTAATGATGGCGGTGAGACGGATGGTGGTACCACAGTGTAGCAAGAAGGTCTAGGTAGGATGATAGCGTGATTAGGGTTTCTTGTTTTCTTTTTGCTGGAGGGGTTATTTTTATTAGGGTTAATTAACTTTACTGTTTTAAATAGTCTTTTACCCAAGCAAAGTAAATGATTCATAAAAAAAAATATAAAATTGATGATGTGGAGTGTGGGACTCAATTTTGGTGCACAATTTTGGTGTCCTTGGCATTATTGTTACAGATAATAGTTTTCCAGGCACCAAGAGTCATAAATGATATGCAAAATCTTGGTCGAAGAAACAGGGCCTTATACTTCTAAAATATTATTCAATCGCGATTGCACGTAAACTAATTCCATTTACATATTCGTTGCTGCAATAATGAAGAAGGGAAGCAACAACCAGAGGTTGAAATCTAGTCAAATGTCGATTGTCATGCAGACTTGGTGGAGATATGCAAAGGCTTCTTATAAGACTGCAACAGGAGAGAAGAACATACCACACTTAGAGATGAAGCAGCCATACAGGCACCTGCAAGCCATGGTGGTAATCGAATTCCAGTAAAAGGGAACAAGACTCCAGCAGCAATTGGCATGCCAAGGATATTGTAGCCCAAGGCCCAGACATAATTCAAACGAATACGAGACATGGTCTTTCTAGAGAGATGTATGGCTGTAACTACATCTTCCAAATTGCTCTTCATCAGAACTATATCTGCTGCTTCGATAGCTACGTCGGTGCCAGCACCAATTGCCATCCCAACATCTGCTGCAACCAAAGCTGGAGAGTCATTGATTCCATCTCCCACCATTGCCACAGTCAGTCCTTTCAACTGCATCCAATTTTCATTTGACAAGTCAGAAAAGGCTATACTTGCTCAGATTGTACTCATATATTAGGTAGGGGCAAAAACTTAATAAAGATTAAAAAATTAAAATGTTCCTTAAAGAAATTGGTTTACTCTCGACATACCACTGATAAATTATTTGAAACCAGAATAAATTGCTTGTGTAGCTGGGTGATAGTAATCCAAGACACAGTGTCTCATTAAAAGGCAAATAAATCCAAGACTCATCAAACCTTTATAAGAAATTCAACTAGTGACTCAAAGCTCTCTGATGTTTCGAAATAAGTCAACTAATGATCAAAGCGTGCTCAATGGTTTTGTTCTCAACCATTTTTACAACTCAACTGGATCAAAAGCCCTCTGTAATTTTCAGCTGGAAAATGAGTTGGAAAAATTGACAGAGGTAGAGGCTGGAGAAGATGGAAAAAGCACACACTGGACAGAATTTGAGGCTTGCTTGCCTCACAAAATGTCACCACCATCCTCCAGATAAAATGGATAGTAAATTCCATACTCTAGAAGCGGAACTAGGATGAACATCTGTAAATGTATCACTCACTCATGCAAAATCTTGTTCTAGTCTAGTATAGTTGCCTACATGTCAGGGAGTAAAAGCGTATTAACAAGGCTTCATACTACATATATTTAAACTTCTTGAAATAAGCTTACCTGTAACTCTTTGATTCTATCAGCTTTTCCCAGTGGATCTGTCTCTGCAAACACCTTGTCAATGCCAACCTCCTTTGCAATAGCTGCTGCTGTAGCCCAGTTATCACCAGTAACCATGATGCTTGAAATGCTCATTGAGTGAAGATAAGAGATGACTCGCGCAGCCTCTGGCTTCACTGGATCAGTTACAGCAAAAGATCCAGCAACCTTTCCATCAATGGCAACCAACACACAAGTTCGAGCCAGTTTTTCATTTTCCGAAACATATTCCTCAACCTCAGGACGAACCTGGACATTACAATCCCGCATGAGCCTCTTGTTCCCAACCAAAACCATTTTGTCACCAACTCTTCCACTAACCCCAGCTCCTGTGTGTACCTCAAAGTCCTTAGCCTCCATCACATGCTCAGTTGATCCAAACTTCGTGAGCAGCCTCGTAGCATGCTCCACAATGGATTTTGCTATTGGGTGTTCACTATTTGCCTAAATATTTGTAAAAAAGAGGTGTGTTAGCATAATTGTCAAAATAAATTAAGATAGGACAATAATTGTAATGTTTTTCATCATTCATAAATTAAAATGGTGGTAAACAAACAAACCTATCAGCGGTTATTGGGGATTATGTCATGCGTAGCTTAACTCGTTAAGCACTCAAAAGTTTCAAATTAAAGTAAAGATAGTAAATTTTCATGTAAAATTTTGAAATATAAGCACCAACCTCTGCAGCAGTCGCCACAGCACAGAACTCCTCCATTGAGTAATTAGAAAAGAGCACAGCACTGACTACTTCTGGTTTCCCAACTGTCAGTGTCCCAGTTTTATCAAAAACAACTGTTTTCACCTGTAGGATCACACAAATATGTATTTTTAGAAAAAGAAAAAAGAAAACAAAAAGAACGCCCAGTTAAATGTCCAGATACCTAAAAAGTGTCAAATGATATGAAATCTATGGATGTGCATGACTTAGGTTCTGTTTGCATCCCTCCATACCCAATGACATAAATTGTAATTTTTTTTTGGTTCAGAGCCTACAAGTTCACAAAAGGGAGGCAGAGAATCTTACTGTTCTTAAGTATAAAAGTTGTCATAATTGCAATTTGCAAACATCAACATAAGCTATGTTGGTAAAATATGTGATAATATGAACTTCATGAGACCTGATGACCAATAAAAGGAAAACAACCTCACAAAGGAGGAACCAAGAAAATAACTACACTTGCAACCTCAAGACATATAGTTTGTGATCAGCAATTCACCTTATTGTGAGATAATGTCACAATACTGCAATTGTTCAAGTAAAAATTGTCACACTTGCATTTCTAATACCAAAACAAGCAGGTTTCCAGTCTCCTTTTATTTCTAAATGAAGTAACTAAAGACAATAGCAAAAATAACATGCAAATTGCACCCAGATTCTAAATAGACAGCTGAAAGTTGTTTCCTAGGCAAAGGTGGCCTTACCTTATGAGCCTTT